AATGGGAGCTCTGTAGTGTTTCTACCCCTTACTGACCAGGCAGTAATTTGTTGATAAAATGCAGTCTCACATTTGACTGAATGCTAGTAGCGTTCTCACTTCCCCTCCCCTCATTCAGCCAACCCACTTCAGGAAGGGTTGAAATATTCAGGAGTAAGGTTAAGAAAGCTTCTCCGGTGGCTTGCAATTATAGTATCATGTTAGGTTTTTAGTTTTGGTAATATCATTGAAAGCGTGCTCACAGTAGCATAATAAAAAGTGATACTAATTAGGTAATAGTAAGTGAGACCTAGAGCATATCAAGGGGATTAATAACCAGATGAGAGGTGGGACAGCACCAAGTCAACCTGAGGCCACAAACACCCCAGCTAGCTATTCATTTGGCCAAGAAATACCTCACATGATCTTTATTGCTATTAGAATCTGTTTGGAATTTTATTCAGAAGGAAAATAAACATCTTTCTTACATGGATTTAAATCTCCCCAAGTGCTATCAAAATGAATCTTTGATTACTACTGCTGATTTTTCTGGAAAATTTATCCTCAGAAAAAGATCAAATCCTCTTCCATCTGTCTTCCTCCTGCACAGACACCAACCCCCAATAAGCTTTTATAACCATATTGTGTTTCAGGTAAAATACTTCCCATTTCCATCTTTCAGCTTCATCTCTAAGGTTTGATTGAATAATGTAACCATGCAGTTGGCAGGTAAAACAGCAGGAATTCAACACAAGTAACCACATAACATTATTAGAGAAATAATGAAAGAAGGGATAGCTAAGTACTTAAGCTGGGTTTCATTCCAAATATTAAAAGCAAACACCCATGCCAATAAATATAAAGCCTCAGAACTTGAGAAAATAATACCTTCTTGAACCTGAAGGTCCAGCAATCACACATTTGTTCACCTCTACAAACTGGAACTGACTAGAACAGGTCACAAAAATTACATCAGAACATATAGTCAATGATGCTTAAATTGCTTAAGGAAATAACTACTGAATTGTCCATTTAAAGGTTAATTGTACACCTGCCAATGGAGTGACCTACATTTGCCTGGTCAAAACATCTGTGAGAGAGGCAAAAGAAAAATTTTCAGAAAGGAAATTCTGGTCTGACATTAAACGATACACTCTTCCTTTCCATTGCTCACAGGCCTAGAAATGCAAACTGACCCTATACAGGGTACAAAGCAGCACAGCAGACTTTCACGTCAGCTGCTGGCAGCAGAATAAAGACCACAGAGCTATAGCCATGTGAGAAGTTGATGATTTTTGGATTATTTCCTCAGCGCAAATCTCTCCTTTCATTCCTCTTCCAAAGACAAGAGCTTTAGGGAAGTCTTTATTAATGTATTTCTTTAAACTTTCACTATTTCTGCAAACCTACTTTACTTATTTCATTATTCTGGTGATAAGTGTAATTTTTTTCTTTCTGCTCCCAAGAACCACAAAGTACATGTTGTGCCTCCATAAGTGGACACAGAAGTTTTGCCGTTCCACCATGAAAGTTCACTTGTAGAGAAAGTGAAGGTGGCAGTTGTAAGCATCCTAACACTCAGCACATCTATGTAAAATTGTGGTTTTGTCTTCCCTATCACCAAAACAGAGAATTGGAAATGCAATAATTAAGAAGCACTAAAACCTAGTCCATGAAGATCTCCCTTTGAGATGTGTTTTCTCTCTCAAAGCATGTTATCCTTTTGCATGCCATTATTCCTTTTCCATATGTGCCTCTCTATAAAAATGTCTGAATGCTTGGATATTTTTTCACTATCTCCTCATTCCTGTTTGTTCTTATTGTATAGTATGCTCTATGCATTTTATCTAGGTGAAATAAAAAGGCTGTGCTAATGGGAACTCAACTCTTCAAAGCTGAGAAGAGCTCCTTTCCTTTGCCTGCAGACAACCGAGAGAACCATCACCTTTCTTTTTGTGTTTCCATCCTCATTCCAATGACTGATTACAATTTCCTAAGACATTTCGATCATGCAAGAACTCTGCTTACAGCACTACGATAAAAAGTGGAGCACTTGAACTTTTTAAATTAGGCTTCTAATTGTAGGTACCTCAAATCTCTCCCTCCCTGAGCTTCACGTGCAGCCCTGGTTCCTAAGGCCTAACTGAATCACATGTGAACTTTCAAAAGCTGAAAATGTATCCTCTTCACAGACAATGTATGTAAAGATTTAGGATATATAAATTATATTTTGAATTTTACTAAAGAAACTGAACAGTTCTTTGTCAGCTGTCTGAAAGCAGGCAGAGAATTTTTCACTTGTTGCTAAACAATACAAATACATTTGGCTGCTCCGAAAGACAGCTATTGCTGTCAAAACGTATTTACCTTGGAAGCCATCCAATTTCATCTTACCATGCTGTCAAATGTGAGCTTATCTCAGCCACAAATGTCCGTGCCTCTTCTATTGTTTTATGGAAGTATGCTAAAATTATGGCTTTTATATAAAGTCCAGTACAGTAAATAGGAATACCCCCAAAAGTTTCCACTGACTGAACATACTGTGAAAACACAGGGTTGGGTTTTTTTTAATAGCCTGACACCAATTTCCCATATCCCCCACTGAGTGAACATTAAACACTGTTCCACAGTATAATGTCTAGAGTGACTTATATTTTGAAATCTATTTTCCATCTATCTGATAGGACCAGTATCTCCTTTGTAAAGAAAGTCTGTACTCTGGATTTTGTAAACTAAGGAAAACTATTAAGTTTATCATTCTAATAATTTCATTTTCAAATAACATTTTTTGTTCTCATTATGTTTTTACAGTCACCACCAAAGAATCTGAAAGTTATGCAATACAACAGGCTTTAAAGCCACCAGGGACCTTCCTGACACAAGATGGAAATAACTTATTACGCAAGTAAGATTAAAACACTGACCTTGAATCCAGAGTCTTTTGCCAAGGGGCAGTGTGTGGGGGGGGTGGGGGTGGAAAATCAACTGTGGTGTGGAAGCTTCTACTGTGCTTAGGAAAGCAAAGGAATTTTCAAAAGCAAAGGCCTCCATCATACAGGGAAGTGGAGGCACAACGGACATTATGATCGTTTTAATATCTCACGTGGCAAGGTGTTTATTAGGAAATAATACAGCTTCACTTCAGCACACACAGTGGTATTTTCTGCTCATTGTCCTCTCGTGTTCCAGCCACAACTGCAGTGACTGTTGCAAACGGTTGCGGTCTCTGCCGCCTGCAGCGGCCAGCACAGCAGCAAGGGCCAGGCTGCAGGGATGGCACCCAGCTGTGCCAGCAGCCTGGCAGCAGGGCTGCTGTGAGGCCAGGCCAGCTGGGATTCCCTTGGAGGCGGAGGGTGCCAAGTGGCTGGAGCAAACAGGCTTTGAATGACTTTGTGCTGACGGTTCAAGGCCAAGCTTTCAATATTAGTAATGACCCAGCTATGTACTACAACCTGTATCTGCTACGCTGCACAGCTGAGAACAGAAGAGCATTATAGTAAATGATTAAGTTGGAAAACTGAAAAAAGAAAATATGACTTTTGTCTCAACACAGTCACGTTAATACTGCTACTAAAACCCTGCCTCTGGCATCCCCTGAATTTTTATAAGCTCATCAGTGCCATACTGAAGTTAGACTCAATAGGTCTAGGCTATCCATTTGCATGGGTTTGAAAGACAAAGCAGAGATTAAAGGAAATGGCCAACACCTAGGAAGATCAACATCTGAACTGCTGGACCTGCTTTTTAAAATTTATGCTTCACTGAGACAAACAGGAAGCTAACAGGTTAATTTCTATTTTCAAATATTCTTTTAGATGGAGAGAGTTTCTCCCAGGGGCTGAGGATGTCTTTATCACCAGCAACAGAGGGTCCTATTGTCTTATTCTAGTCAGGCTGGAATATTGCCTCAAGGTAACATTCTTTTTTTGTTTGGGTCAGCAAGATGTCTTTGAAAACAGAACTACAGTTTACTGCTTCACCTAAGAATTTTAAAGAATCAGATTATATGAAGGAGGGTTTCTTGGTTTTTGTTTTTTGAGTTCTTTTTTTGTTTGGTTTGGTTCTGGGGTTTTTTGTTAGCTACCCAAAAAACAATATCTCCATGCATCTCCCAGAAGAGGGCTCAGAGGGAAAGAACCAAGGAACTGCTGAAATACATATTATGAGGAAAGACAGACAGAATGGAAATGTTTCAGGAGCACTCCCTCCCAGGGGATCTCCATGCCCATTCTCCTCAGTTTCCAAACTGGAAACACATCTATTTTCCTTTCATACATATGTAAAAAAATCTGATAGACTGGTATCTAAGAAGAGAAAAAAGTCTTTCTCCAGAAATTGGAGAATTACTTGGAATTAATTATAACAGCACAGTTCCAGCCTGCCTTGAAGACTAAACAGCTAATATTAGGTAATTGATATAAACATATGCAGTGTTTAAAATGTTCTATGTATTAAACAACCACATTTTTTAGTTTCATCAACCAGGAAACTTTGCTAAAAGAGGTGGTAAAAAAACAAAAAAGGCAAAACAAAAAGCCCATAAATAGAAACTCTGAAAAACACAAAACAGTTTTGACTAGGAAAAAAGTGGATGGACAGTTGGCCATACTTTATGAAAAAAAGTTTGATGCATCTTTTTTTCAATCGATTAAAATCAGAATGGCTGTTGAATTTAAGAATCCAATTACAGAACTATTACTTGTTCTGATTTTTATTATTATGGTGAAGATGGAAATGTCAAACAAGAGTGAGAAAAAATCTCAATAAATCATAAAGCAAATCTTAAAGGGAAATAAGATAATCTGCCCAGTACACCTGTAGAATAATTATACCTGTCCTTGGTTATTATCATATAAGTAGTCAACAGGAAGGATAGCCTTCCACAGAAGATGGTAAACATTGTAAAAGTCAGTCTTAGTCTTTAATAACTTTTCTGTATTAAAAAATATCCACTCTAATCTGATATGTCATTCTTAAAATACGTCGTTCATAGCAAGAATAAAGTGTGCATAGACACATACCTCTTTTCTGGCTTGGCGTTCTGCCTGGGGGACTGAGAATGCCTGCTGCCTCTCAATGCTCCTCTGCTCAGATGGCTGTTATTATGGCCTCCGGAAGAAGCAGAGGCCCGAAGGCCGGCCCAAAGCTGCTCTTCATTCCTGTGAAGCGGCACAGATGTACGGATGGCAGAAATGATGTGGCCAGGATAAGCAGTCAGCGAGTCCTCGCGGTGGCGGGAGTGCTGATGAGCAAGAGTTCTCTCTGAGGCCGGGTACTGCCGCCCCGGCCGTCGGTACCCCCTTTCCCGGTAATAGGCTGGGAGGCAGGGCCGCGTTTGCTCCATCACACCGCCACTGCAGCTCCGAGAGCAGGCAGACCAGGGGCCCCAACTTCCCCACATGCCTGGGATTCCTGCACTGCTATCCTCAGATGCATCTCTTTGCTCTTCTATCCTCTGGGGAACCTGTGGACACAACAGATTGACTTAGGAACAAGAATTTACACTGTAATAAGAGGAGAGCACTAATATACTTTTTAAGCCATTTGCTTTGCAGTCACAAGTGAAACAGAATGCCATAGGAAGTCACTTGTCTTATTCATTCCCTGTCAAACGGCGGCCTGTTCTGTCAGTAGAGGAGGAGGTCTCCTACAGCCATCAACCATTAAGACCAGAAGTATTATTTGGACTACCCGGATAGGAATGCATTTTCATTAGTTCTCAGCAATGGAAAGCATTGTGTAAGGTAAAGCTTGGACATTTGGAGATTAAAAACTGTTATAATATTAGCAAAGTCAGGAAGTAAGGTCATTTCTGGTGATGACCTTGGGTTAACAGACACTGACTGCTCTCTTCCACTCTGATGCCTCAACAATGGAGATTGCTAGTGTTTGAAATATTATTTTGGGGACTCCCATCTAATGGTGGAACTTTTTAGGAAAGTAATAATGTAAGAGGTCAGACTGATTTCCAACCAGCCAAAAATACTGCAATAGTTAACTCTTATATTATCATTTTTCCCCCCACCTCCCACATTAATACTTCAAGAAAAAGAGCTATTGAAGATGATCTGCCCAATCCTCCATTCACAGAAATCCCCATCAACTTCAATGAAAGACAGGACAAACTAGTTGGTCTCAGGTGTTCAGTGCCACGTGGCCCATACTCACCATTCAGCAGCAGAGGGAAAGCAAAACAAAGAACCCCAAAGAGAGGGGGGTTTTCTCTTGAAGGAAGCTAGGAAGGATTAGGAAGGGCAGGGACTGTTACTGTAAGGAGAGTTAACCCCTCAAGCTGTAGGCAAATATTTAATAAATATCCTGACCTTGTAATTGGCAAAGTATCAGCACAGCCTAGACGTTACAATCACCCATCCCCATCTACCTGTTTATTTGTGCCCCAGGCTTTATCCATTCCTGGATCTATAGTCAAGTGTTCCACGCTGAGCAGTCCCCAACTTTGTCATACAGAAATTAGTTCCATTTTCATTAAACTCATAGGTTTTCTGTTGCCTCCCTTGTCCAACTGGCTGAATCACAATTTTTCAAAGCAGGCTTCCAATGTCTGATTCTCACAATTATTAATATGCAGAATATTCTTTTAAATAAGCATCCTTTAATAGTTTATTTATATTCTGAATAACCTGTGTACCAACAAGCACACACGCATATCTATTCAATTAGAAGACAAAAAAGGCACTGACCAAAACCAAATGCTTACCAAACCTCTCCTGCCCTATTCAACTGTGCAGCTACCTCAAAACGAGCTTCAGAAAGACAACCTGTCTGTCTGTATGTCACTTCTCCCCCCTTCAAAGGATGACCACCTAAACATGTAACTTCCGTTAACTATTGTATAACAGCAAAAGATTAACATCTAAATATTTCGCCTCTAGTCACAGATAACATGCACAGTCACTAACTGAACTGCAAACCACCCATGCCAGTGAGCATAGCTATAAACAGCTAGCTATAAACATGGCAGGCTTTGGTGGAATGTGGTTTGCAAACATGGGTTGAATACCCCATTACAATATGAAAAGCCAAGCCAGTGCAGGGTTTGTGGTGCTGCTGTGTAATTGTCAGTTGTGGTCTACATAATCTGAAACATTTCCCCCCTCTGAGGTTGCTCTCACACTTTCATCACCAACCACAGAAAAAAACTGCATTTAATTATAACTTGTGAATAATAAAAAGCATCTGCATTAGTGTGATATGTTACCCATTTCTCCAGTGTTATTTGAAAACAGGAGCAGATGTCTCTGTATTTAATATCTCTTTTTTCCTGTGGGTATCCCCTTTGGCATTTGCCTTTTAAATCCAATAGCCTGTACAACCTTATACCACAATGTCAAAATTATGAATAACATGAAACAAGGTCTTGGTTTCTGGCTGTTACATTTACTTTCATATCCAATAACAGAACAGTACTGGCTCACAATCTGACTAAACAAGCTATGCTTCAGTTTGTGATTTTTTTCAGTGAATATTCACTGTTCATACTTATACTACACATTAACGTAGCTCTATCACAGAAATAAAATTATAGTAATTACACATAGAGACACTCTTCTGATCTGATCCCGGTTTGCAGTAAAATTTTCTTATTACAAAACTAATAGTTCTTTGTTATCAGACAAGTCAGGTTCCATTTATCTGGACTATTTCTTAACCATTTCTATGATGGTTCAGCACACCTTTTTTTTTTAAAGACCCAAAGACACTCACGCAGTCAAGAACTAAAATCTGTTTGCAAGCAACTCAAGTCACCACCAACATAAGAAATATTTCATTATGCAGAAATAGAAACTGAAATAATAGTGACAAGTGTTGACCTGTTGCAGAGAAAACTTTCTGGCTGCCAAAATTCATTACAGCAAGAATTGTTTCAGATAAAATGATAGTTTAAATGACTGAAGGCAATGTGATTTCACACCCCTTCATCTTCACAGTAAGAGTTCTAGAGATAGCACAAGAAGGTTTGATCTAGCTATTTAAGTAAGAACATAATAAAAAAACTAACCAAAACATAACAATATCTAATGTCTTATACTGGTGTACAAATTCATCAATACTACTTAGTTATAATATGACAAAATTCTGAGATGGAAATTTTTAGTAGCAAATCGAGTTATGCGCTTTTATTTTTAATAAACGAAGCTTTAGAGAAGATGACATGATTAATGGCATAATCTACTCAGTGAAACCTACTACAAAAGACTGAATAAATTGAAGCTGCGTAGCTTAAGGAATGGAAAACGTAGGGGCAGTAATGAGTCTTACAAATAGTTTACATAAATAAATACAAAGAGCTGTTCGTTTTCTCTTTGAAGCAAATTGTTCTCCATGTCTATAGCCAACACACAAGTAACAGTGGACTTAAACTAAATCAGAGGTTATCCAAATTAGCTAGTAGGAAAAACTACTTAGTGGAAAGGCAAAGCAGGGGAACAGATTGCCTGAGGAGATCCTGGCATCATGGAGGCCAATCCCCAACCTCTACCAAGAACAACTAAAGTCTAACTGACCCTTCCTCTGGGCAGAGGAGCTGAACTAGAGGCCTCAGAGGTCACTTCCCATCTTTCTGTCCTGTGATTTCCAAGTTACTTTGTAGCCAGTAATGAATTCTACCACAGCCCTAGGATACAGCCAAGAAATTACAGGTAGCTACAGGAGACAGCTGAAGTATTCCATAACATTTCAGAAACATCACATATTCAGAGAATCCTAATGCTAGGTCCCTCCTCCCCTCCCTTTAAAAATTACCTCTTTAGAGAGTGTGCTGTTTAATGGAAGAGTTTCAGCCTGCACCTGGGAACAAGTGAAATGCATACTGAATTTTCCTTGTCAAGGAAATAGATTGCATTTTAAATAGAAGAACAGTTTCTATTGAATTCATATAATTCAGCAATCACTCTGATCCTGAATCAAAAATTCCAGCAAAATCTAGGAGTGCATAAGCTGCTTAAATACAATGCAAATTTCTAGTACTACCTCCATCAGAATTTAGAAATAAGATCCACATCTCCGGATTTCACCAGAAGTTGTTGAAATTATACTATGCAGAATGTCCCTGAAGAAAAAATATCACTTGAACTGCAAGCCACCAATAATTCAGATGTAAGTAGTTGTGCATGAAGCCAATGACTGACAATGCACTAACGCTGATTTAAAATATTGTGGGAAAGTTCATCCTATAACTGTTCAGAAAAGTAGAAAAAAAGCAGATAAATCAGAGGCCCATTTAACCCAGTATTACGTTTCTGACTGTGTGGAAGAACCAAAGGTTTAAGGAACAGTATGATTTTCAGAACATCCACCGACCCTCAGCTTCCAGCTAATCAGTAATTTATGGGCCTCCTGCAGCTAATCACCATATTCAAATTGTTTTAATACCTGTTACTGGACTTAATTTCCATTAATACAATTAATCCCTTTTTTAGCATATTTCTAATCTTGGCTTCCAAAAGATTGTGCATTTAAATTTAAAAAGTCCATCCTTTTCCTCTGGTTGAACATACAGCCTGACAATTTCACTGTCCCCGATTTTTTCATTATGATAAATGAATAATGATCATTCTTATACTCCTTCACTCTACCGTGATGTTTGATTTGAAATCACTAACACAATCCAAATCTGGAATCTTCTCTGAAATTCAGCAGTCCTAATCTGTTCAGTCTCCTTTAGTACAGAAAACAGGGCAGAGTTTGGACTGTCCTCATTCTCAGCACCTTTTCCACTCCTACATTTTGACAGGGGTGTGCAATGCTGCATACAGTACTCCAAATGTGAATTAATGACGGACTTTCACAGTGATAATGATCATGACGCTTGGTGACAGTACATGCCTTTAACCAGCTACTTCATTAAATAATCTGCTATAGCCACAGCCAACGTTACTAAGCATTTTGCAGATACTGAGCATGTTATAGCAGTCCAAATTGAAAACTGAAACAGGATACAAAACAATGGCAAGCTTTAAACCTGGAGATATCTAAACCAAACCAGACATTTCTGGATTTTTTCAATTTCAGTTTACATACAATTAATGTCATATTTCATAGATTTCACTTTAACATGTTATCCAGCAATTCTTTTTTTTGGTTAAATGCCCTGAATTTAAATGCATTCACAAAGAAATTAACTAAATCATATTTATAATTATACATCAAAGAGATGTAACAGGCATGAATGTATGTTTTGCAAAGCTTAATGATACTACTTTCACCCAAAAGCAAAGAAATTGTATCCAGAGAACATTTTATCACCTGCACAGAAAAATGCTAGTAATGGTATTCACTCAGTAAACTCATGTTCACGTGCTGGATGCAAAGTGGAGTTAACAGAGGTTAGCATGCTTTTTTTTTTTTTTTAATTTTAAATTACTACCGCTATCATATTTGTCCTGTGCTTCCCAGACCAGAGTCCTAATCCTGCTAATATTCCTCAATACCCTTTAAGATTTA